GGGGGGGCAAGCCAGCAGGACCAACCCGGCTCCCCCATTGCAGAAACCAGGTAACTTAACAGTAATGAGTCCAAATGACTGCTGTCGAGAATGTCCAGTCAGACAGCAATGGCATGTGCCGAACTCTCCTTGTCTTAAATGCCTTGTCCCCAAATGAGGATAGCCAAACTTCATCTAGGTTGTAGAAAACCGATCTTACATTTTCCTATCAGACCTGTGGAATACTTTGCCTAAGTGACTCGGAAAAGAAAACTTAAAAAAATTCTTTTTCTATACTTTCTTGACATTTCCTTTCATTCTAAGATCGACTTCAATTTAGCCTTGTGGACCAGTTGAGGTGAGTTATAAGTCTAGATGTTTTTTTTTTAATCCATTAGACTTTTTCCTAGAAAATAAAACAAACAAAAGCCATTCTCTTTCTTTCAGCAAGCTTACACTTTTCTTTCCTGGGATAAGTAACTATTTGTAACAACAATGACTAGGGCAATCAAGACCTTTAGGCCATGGATGTCTCTGCCTTCCTATTTGCTAAACTTAGAATAACTGGAGAGCAGGGAATATCCTCTAACTTCACCTTTTGGGTTCCATAATCCTCACGAGCTATTTCAAGTTGAATGCGTGTATTTGTGAATCACTCTGAAAATCCTAGGGGAGCAGTGCAATGTTAATGCAGAGAATGTTAACTATAATTACTGAGGCTTACAGCAGTTATACTTAAAGGCAATTAACGTTAGCATGCAGTTCTTGCCTTGGTGGTAAAGTACTCCGGTGCAAGCTCAGAGAACTGAAAAACAAGCAGTCCAGGGCCTGGTGGAGGTCTCCACACCCTGCCTTTCTTGAGAAAGAAAACCTTAACATGTTAGCAAAAGCATCTCCAGCAGTAGAAGTCACTGAACCAACCCTTCCGGAAGGGAAAAGCAATAAAGGCCCAGGGAGTTTTCTGAGCTGGGTGAAGATAGGCATGCAGGTCAGGCAGCTTTCACAAATCCAAATATGCTTTGCCACTGAGATGATTATACATAAGGTCCCAAGACCACGGTTACTGGCATAATTCACCTCCCACCTCCTTTAAAAGAAGAAAGAGTGTAGTTCACCCATAAATACCATGGTCATTTAGCAAATGCTTAATCTGTAG